AGCTACTCCTATCTTCCCATTTATTTTTGACGCATCTGTATAAATTTGAATATATTTATAATATTTGTTTATATGTATCTGTACTGAATATCTATCTACCGTGTATAGATTTATCTTGTTTCTTTTCTATTATTGACATGTCTACATTTGCTTCTGGTAAAATCCATGGCGGTATTATTGACATTGGTGTTTGACTTATTTCTAAATGATCAATCTTGAATTCTTTTATTTTATTTCCAATATTCCATCCAAAACCCCTCATTTCTTTCTTTTCTTTTTCCCAACATGGCTCTAAAATTTCCCGAGTTGGATGATCAATTTTATTGCTTTGTAAATTTAACCAGTAATTTATTTCTAGTTTTGTTCTTCTTAAGTTTAATGGCATTTCTCCCATTTCTACTTCTATTGCAGCTGTTGGTGTGGTTTTAAATGCTCCAGTACATACTCTTAATGCCTGATGTTGAATTATGTCTAATTTATCCAGATGTGTCTTAGCTGCTGAACCGTAAACTATGCACCCAAAGTCTATGTTAGATCTTATCATTCCATTATAAATCTGCTTCATTGATTTTCTATCTGCTCCCCAATCACTGCCAGCCAAGCATCTTAAAATATTTAAGATTTTCTTACACTTATCAACCACTTTTTGAATATGTATATTCCATTTTAGTTTTTCATCAAACCATATTCCTAAAAATTTTATACATTTTACTTGTTCTAGTTTTTGATTATATAATTTTAATTTTATTTCCTTTTTGTGAATATCATTACTTTTGTTTTTTCAACTGAAAACTTGAATCCCCATTGTAATGCCCATTTTTCTATTTCTATGATTACCTTTTGTACTTTCTTTACAATATGATCTATATTTTTCCCTCTTTTCCAGACCGCTCCATCATCTGCAAATAATGAACATCCTATTTCTTTTCCAATACCATTAAACACATCATTTATCATAATTAAGAACAATAAAGGACTTATAATACTTCCTTGCGGAGTTCCATTTTCTACCTTATATTTTTCTGAATACACTTGCCCTATTCTCACTTGTATTTTTCTATTTGTTAAAAAGTCTTTAATCCATTTAAATAATTTTCCTTTAATACCCAACATATATAGTTTAATCAATAATCCTTCTACCCACATCATATCGTATGCTTTTTCTATATCAAAAAATACTGCCACCACACTTTCTTTATTTACTTGTGCTCTTCTAACTTCATGTTCTAAACATAACGTTGGATCATTAGTGCTCCTCCCTTTTCGAAACCCACTTTGATACTTTGACATATATCCTTTACTATTTAAATAATAAACCATCCTATTGTTAATCATTCTTTCCATTATTTTACATAAATTGGATGTTAAAGCTATTGGTCTGTAGTTTCCTGGGTTTGAATTATCTTTTCCTGGTTTTGCTATTGGTAT